GACGGCGACGGCGCTCGCGAGCGCGCACGCCCCCGGCGCGCCCGCCCGCCGCACCGCCCCCGAGCTCTTGGACGACGTCTGCTCCATGTTCTTGCCCACGCAGTTCATGCGGTACAGCGGCAGCGCCTGCACCGGGTACTCGCGGTGCTCCTGCATCATGGTGCAGATGATGCGCTTCTTCTGCATGAGGTCGTCGTCCTTGTTGCGCAGCCCCTTCAGCCACTCGCCGTACCAGCGCAGGTCGCAGTCGCAGATGAGCGGGTTGTCTGCAAAGCGAGAGAGCGAGCGCGCGCGCGCCACGTCATCCTGTCGCCGAGCGCTTTGGGTCGCAAAGGGGAACGCACTTTAAAATAAGAAGATCATTTGGATGATGGGTCGAAAATCAAAGATAACAAAAGGAAAAAAAGAAGAGAAATGTGAAGCTGGCGGCAATGCAAGAAGCTTTTAAGACATGAAAGTAGAGAAATAACATAGAAACACAATTGAAAACTAAGAAGATCGAAAAAGTTAAACAAAAATATTCAAAGAAGTAAAATGGCGCATACGTTTGGCTGAGCTCAGGTTGACATATAATCGAATTTATTTTTGTCTCTTTGTTTTTATATCGTGCACCTGATAATCGTAATTTATATAAACAGGCGACAACGTGAAAACGAATAGTTCGATAATTCAAAAAGAAAGTATACAGAATGTCTAACAATAAATGCTACAAACTTCTAGGGAATGTAAAAGGATTGAATGTAATTAACTTTTTGCCAATGAAAATGACATGGGAAATGTAATTTTACGAGACTACATATGTGTCTTTTATCCCCAATTGTTCGGTGGCTTCTCATGTACCGATGTTCGACAGGAAATCTTGTTGACTACGTCAAAAGAAGACCTGTCCAACACTAAGGCATGATATGCTACCTAATACTCAGGGAGAAATGTCATATGTATAACTTCGTTGTATGAAACTTACCACATTGGCAAAAAGTGATGATCTTCAATACTCCTAAGGGAAGTATGCTGAATAACTATTTTCCCAAGAAAAGGTTCCCTTAATTCACGAGCTTCAAACGTCATATTTAACATTATTAAAAAATCGTAGATTCTGTATATTAATTTCAAAATAAAATTTTGAATAGAATGCTTCAAGAGCTATAAAAAATATTCAATAATAGAATAGAATAAAAGGGGAGACATTAAGTTGTGATTTTGTTTTGAAATACTTTCGTTTCCTTTTATCTGTCATGGACTGGAAACAAGAGTACCTTTTACTTTAATGAACACATTTCTTTTATTCGTTTATCTTGTAAGTTTAAATTGAGATGCATTTTATTATTTTTATTATAGAATCGAATGAACTAAAATGAAAATAGTTATAAGTGGAGCAAACAAGATTTTTCTACCAGTGTTCAATCCAGCGGACAAAATATTTTATCATAAATAATTTTTTATTGATGCCAATTTTTTTATTTGTTCATTTATACATATTCACAATGCATTTAATTAACATGTTGAATGACTTTCGTTACTATAGAAAATTACTAAAAAGTATATTTGCCTTCGGCGGCTGGAGGGGTAAGTCTCATGAACCTCTCCCACCTCTTCGATACGCTACTGGTTATGTTAATTATTAACTGCAACACTCAGTTGTTGCTAATTGTGAAATAAGTTTGTGGTGAATGGGTATTTCATTATACGAGATCGCGAGAGACTTGTGACATGGAGCGGTAATGATAAATCAGTACTGAATTTGAAATCATAGTGGAAAAACTGCTACATATTTATTGGAGTTCTTGCTCTTATCAATATTGATGCAGGATTTTCAGTTCCTATTAGTAATTGCACGAGAGAGGATTGAGGCGAGAGATTGCTCGCAAAAACTTTTTTCCCCCTCAGCATTGGGACGTGAGCGGCCTGCACTAGCAGTTTCTATTTCTTCATTTTGTCAGAGTAGCCTTTATTGCCTTCTCTGCAGAAAGATAATTTTATTGATATTTCTTAAATCCCAAAGTTGTGGATTTGCCAGCACTGTTTTAAATTGATGTGCTTAGAAAAAAATCATCAGGAAATAACGTAATAATTCGTTCTGTTCCATAACTTGATAATGGTTAAAGATAATGAACATGTTTGCGATAACATTCGTAAAACTTAAATTGAATTTTGATACTTCAGAATTCTTAAAAATGAGGCATAAAAATCAAAAAATGTGTAAATATGGTGAATCGAGATTTTTTTAGAAATTATAAAACTCAGTTATTTTCGCAATTAGATTTTTTAAAATTTAAAATTTCTAAATTTCAGCTTAATTTTTTTTCTTTGTGTACACGGTATAATTGTTAATTTTTCTTCTTGAAATTATTATACCTTTTTGGGAATGGAGGATATCTGATCTTAGTGTCAGTATAAAAACTATTTATTGCAGGATTTTTTTAATTAAAATTGCTTTGTCTTAAAAGAAAGTCTTATTATACACATTTTTCTGAATTTATTGAAGTTTCTTTCGAGAAAATTGAGGATTCTCAATGTTTTGAGGAGAATAAAGTACATTCCAGAAATGTTTTTGATGTGCTTGTAGAAAACAAACATGTTTGTTACATAACATTGATAATTTTCCCCACGTCTTCCGACTATTGTTTTTTGTTAAACTCTGATATGGTAGATTCATTTCTTAAAAGCTCTAATGGAATTTGTGGAGAGAGCTTATTCCTCGAAGGTAGTGCGAGGCGCTCTAGAGGGAGTCGAGTGCTCGTGATCTCAGGCCACCGGAGACCGCGGCGCTAAAATAATTCCGGATCCCCTGGATGGCCTAGGACACAGGGGTAATTGGGCAAATCCGTGCCGTTGGGGAGTTGCCACGGCGCAAAGAATGAGCGGAAGAAACCGGGAGTAAGGAGTGGGGAAGAAGAATACAGACATTGGAATGGAGGAGGCGTTTGTCGTTTTGAAGGGAAGAAATGGCAGAGCCAGCGTCGGTAAAAACGAAGGCGGAAGTGATGTGATGATGATTGTGGACGTGACGGAAAGGACACGATGGTGCCTGAAGATGCGGAGACTGCTAGAGGTGGGGTGGGGTAAGCGGATTGAGGCGCGCTATTATAGAAGAGATTGTCAGTAAGGCAGCGGTGAAGTGCAGTTCGTTGTGGAGGAGTCGCTATTGCAAGTGGCAACAGCGATAGTTGAGACGGTGGTGGCGGTAGTAGTGAGGCGGAGATAGTGGCGGCTGGAAGGACGGCAGAGGCCGAAGCGGTGGTGAATGAATTGCTCAGTAGGATGTAGATGAAGATATAATCGGCGGTTGCGGGGGCGATGATTTTGGAGGTGGAAAAGCGACGGAGATTGAGGCGTCGCGGCGGTGGTGGAAGCGGAAGAAACGAAGGGGATGAATGAGAAATGGAGGGGGTGATGGAGACTGAGGTGGAAGTGGAAGCGGAGGCGCAGGCTGCGGTGGCTGTAGAGGGGGTGGCGGTTCGAACGGTAGGTACTAAGTTGTAATTGATGGTTGTGACAGCGACGGCCTTTAGGATGGAAAAGCGACGGAGACTGAAGCAGGTGGAAGCAGTGTCTGTGAAAGCGAAGGCCTAGCGTGGAGGCGGAGGTGGAAGCCGAAACCCAGGAGACGGAGGTTGAGGTGGCGGCGGCGGGAGGTGCGAACGGGGTGGCTACGGCGTGGGCGGGGCGCGGGCGAGCGAATTTAAAGCTGCGGTTCCACCGTCTCGCGGCGCGCGCGGCCCTCGTCGCGACGTGCCTGGAATGCCTGCGGCCGCCGCTGAGCACCGCGCTCCCCCGTGGGTTTCGCACCCCGCCTCCACCTCCTCCTCCTCCACCTCCACCACCGCGATGTCGCCCGGCACGTGCTTTTTACCTCCTCTCTACCCCCCGTTTTACAATTCCATCCTTGCATTCTCCCTTTATGTTCCACGTTTGCGTGTCATCCCATTTTGAGCTTTTCAAAACCCAGTGCGGTGCCGATGTGTTTCCGTCAGGAAACGTTTTCGGAGACATGTTTTGGATTGATACCGAACATTGCTTTAAGAATTGAAGTTTGCCGCCTTGGAAATGAAATGTGCGCTCGGGAAGCTGTGAGTTCCAGATGTTTTGGAGGGCAATTATTTAGGTGTACCTTTATTTCTTGTCAAATATAAATAAATTTTTAACAAAGATATTGTAGTAAATAAAAAGCTGTGAAGAAAACAAAATTCGTAATTAATAAGAATGAAAATGATTTGTTCAGAAAAGATTCCTAAAGTACTCTTGCATTATTATCACGAACAATTCAATATAATTATTTCCAATTCGTAATTTTGTAATTGTTTTAAAAATATAGGAATACAGAAAATTGGAAAAAAAATAGAAAACTAGAAATTAATATGAAATCTCTTCTCATTGTTAAGAAAGAAATCAAATATGAATGTTGTTAACATGAACTTGAAACAAGTAAGAAAGTAAATTACATTGACATTCTCAAAAAGCTATTTTCATTTTCAAGGAAAAGATAAGGATTTATTTTTATAGCTTCTCATAAAAATCAAGGGAAGTAAGACTAAAAAAGTTTTTAATACGACGGACTTGGGAAACCACAAATAAGAGAGGATTTCGAGGAATAGAGCATCATAGGAATCAAAATGTATTTTGATTCCTGGAGTATTAAAATAAACTAAAAACCTCGAGTTGATGGGGGTGCGCAAATAAAAAAATAACAAATTGAAAGAATAAATAAATTAAAGAGGAAACACTTAAAGCATAGATAAGTTGAGAAGGGAAAGTGATGTGAAATAAATCTTTCTACCGGCGAATTTTGGGCTTTGAGAATATTTTTTTAAGGCTGCGAAAGCGGACAATGTCAGTTCACTCACCCATGATGTCGACGGTTCGCAGTGTGTCCGTGATGGGCTCCATAATATCCTCTGGAATGTGCTGCAACTTGTTGTTAGCCAGGTTCAGCGTCTCTAACGAGTTCAGGTTCTCAAATACCATCGCCGGCAGCACCTTGATGCTGAAACAACAAAATGCGGAAGCGTTAAGATGTTTATTGTCTTGTACGTATATTTTTTGTTAACTAATGTTTTCACCAAGTACCTGCGCAAACTGTCAGAATTACCACCAACTTCGCGAAAAAATAATCAACTTTTCCAGATCAAATTGTTTTTTTTCTCTGCGTAATATTCTATTTAAGTAAAATTGGATGTTTGTCTGTGATTTAAAATTAACAGAATTTATTAATCGTGTATGGTTATTCACACGACATAATAGCTGTTATATTTTCTTTACAATTTTTGTTCCGTCTGTCGGTTTGTCCGGGATAATCTCGCAAATGGATAAACCGATATCAATAGAGTTATCACTGAACCGAAGAGTATTTAGGGTAACTTAAATTTGTTTCCTATTATTTAAATATAAAATCTAGTGTTTTATTTCAATAAAAAGATAATTATGCACGTGACATTCAAAATATGAGAGGTTCCTGTATACATGAAATTCCGTAAGAAGTAACGGTTCCCTTTCCTACTTCTTGCACGCTCTTCCAGCGGCTGTGAATATCTCAAAAACTCTTAGGAAATAGTCTAAAATGAATTAAACATTGTTGAAAGTCCATAAACACTTATACTCAGTGTTTTCTGATTCATTTCAATGCGCTATTGAGCTTAAAGTAATTGAAGGTCAAAATTGTCACAGTTTGCCGGGGATATTCAACTGTGCAACTGTTTACAGCTGCCCATAGCAACGGGGATTATAATGAATACGTCAGTGTGGGACGGGTAGGGGTGGGGTCTAGCGAGTCGGGCGGGGCTGGGCAGAGAGAGGAGAGGCAACGAGGGGCTGGGAGGGGAATGTCGTATTCCTTTTCCTGACTAATAGACGATTGCGATGAAGAAAAACCTGGCATCGCGGGATTGAGGCGGTCAGGTTAATAACGATAGATTTCAACCGACCTCGTATTTTCAGTTAGAAGTATGACTGTGAATGTCAGCCATGTACTTATCATTCGCTGAAAAATATCTGAATGAAGGATGAATTGGGATAATGGCAAAATCCTTAAATTATACTTTAAAAATTTGTTTGTGTGAAAATGAACGTGAACGAAAGAAAGAAGCCATTTTTCCCAAAACGAACTTTAGTTGGGATCTGTCGTAATTATTCGTATTCTCAGATACTCTCAAATATATTTGGAAGTTTCAGAAGAATAGACAATACTTCAAGTTAGGTTTTGAAATATGTAGAATATGTATTATCATTTTGAAATGTGCGTAATTTTTATAAATTGAAAAAACGATTTTTTAGATATGTATAAGTGGAAAAGGTGATGGATGATAAAAATTTAGGGATCATTGAATTATATTCATTGAGTTTACGAATTGAAAATATTTCATGTTCGTGTATGTTTCAATACTATTTATTTTTTGGAACATTGCGAATTTTAATATTTACGTAAAAATTAAAATATAATGATTTTGTAGGCAAAATGACGTAAAATGATCTCTTTCTAAGTGTGTTGAAACTTGTAAAGTTTAAATATTTCTTTCCTTTTTTGTTTACATAAATAGTGGGCTCTCTCATGTCGTAATGATAGCGTTGATGATGAAATAATTGTCTGCTCATGGGAACGACGTCTGTTAAAATTCCAGACAGGGGTAACTTTTTTAAATTGTTTGCTGGGTTGTGGTGTGCTAATAAATGTCATAAGTCAGATTTTAATCAAAACACAATAAATTATGAAAACTGCGAAATATATTCGAAAATAGATAATTTGAATCCCCTGGTATTCCTTTGTTGGTTGGTTACATTACGAATAATACGAGAAAGTATGTAGCGTTTCAGCACCACCAGTGCTTCTGACCACAACAATAGGAAGGGGAGATGGTGGCAGCGATGCAAGTACAATTGCGTTTTACACTAGAGAGAGAATTCTATTATTTTCTCTTCTGATAGTTTGTGAAAAATACACACGCAAATCCGGGTACTTAAGCTAATTTTAATGTAAACGTGCCACTAGCTTTGCTTAATGTCACGGTACATCTTATAGTGCATTAAATAAATCGTTCTCGTGTGGAAATTACTAGGAATTATTCTTTTGTTCAATATTGATTATTTAGGTCTATTGATGATCACACAACAGTCCGTTGAGTTAATAATGGAATTAGGAGACACTATTTTTTATTACTTTTATCTTACACGAATGCCATTGCGTTTTATATTTCCAGTAAGTGCCTCATCGTGTTCTGTGGGAGTCAGAAGATAACGATCTCATATCGCTGCCGCTTACACTCAAAGCCAGAGTGGTTAATTTTGTGGTCATGCAGATTAGACTGATATGAGCGCGCAAAGGACTTAACTGTGGGCGGGCCGGGCGACTTATCTTCTATCGATTCCTATGTCAGCAACATAAACACTGCTGGAATTACCGCGGAAATCGTAAATGTCAACCAAATTTCATTGATGTCTTTAGTATTGTTCACATCGTTACGGAATGATTGACGATGCACCAGCTCATTCATTCTCACCAAATTAGTCGTTAGTATTCTTTTTACATTCTCAACTTATTCCTGAAGCATTTCAATCGAATTTTGTTTGACATTTATATTTGTCTTCAGTATTTCGTTAACCCCCGTGAATAAGCTGATAACTCGTGAAAAATACATTTTCCAGGAGGAAAAATAAATTTTTCATAATATTGTGATTATTTGAACGAATTTTGTAGCGTACATAAACAGACTGCACATTTTATTTTGTTTTTCAATGGTCTCAAATCATTTTTCTTGTCTGAATAATCAGGCAATTCAACTTATCTTCTTATGGCTGATGGTTTTATGTTCATAAATGAACATGGGTCTTAATCAGCAATGAGAGGGAATTTACTTAAACGTGTAAATACAATTATAGAGAATGATTAGGGGGATACAGTATTATATTTATCCGTTTTCAGCGAAAAGTTGATTCATCAGATTTCGGTGTCAAATTTATACCTAACGTGTCATTGCGTATTGGAAGTATTCCCGTTTCCCTACAGTTTTCAGGATGCGACGATAATAAACGGGTATTCTCAAATAATTGTAATATACCCGTAGTAAGAAATGAATTGTCTGTCATAAGAGGAAAATCAATCTGTTGAAAAAAGTTGACTTTCAGATGACTATAAGAAATATTTGCTACTATATTTGGTCAATGAATTCCTTGATTTAGGTGAATCAATTATCACGAGTATCTAATATTGGTGAATGTGGTAAAAGTACGAGTAGTAATGTAGAGTTGTGAAAGTGACAAAGGCCGAGTAGTGCAAACCTACAATCAAAATAAAATAACTTCCACTAGTTGTCTCATACACTATTTTTCACATAATCTTGTTGACTTTCCTTTTATTTTAATTCAGATACACAAATAAGTTAATTGGCTACCATGTTACATTAAGATTAGCTGTAGATGACCAGATGAAAGTATTTTCTTTTCTGTATTGCTTTCACAGATTTTTTCTGAACGTTTGAGCATTGTTTCACTTTCAGTAATAGTGCTACAAAATGAACATTTAACATGCTGTAGATGTCGTAGACTCGTAGTTATTCAGGTTACTAATGGTAATTGTACCTACTAAAATAGCTATTTAATATATTTTTGTAACTGTGACAACTGAGATGCGAAGTATTTTGTTTTATAGCGCTGACTGACCTTATGCGACGCAATGTAATTTTGCAATATTCCTTATTAAACATTTCTTGTACTTTTTTATTTTTAAAAAAGGTTTCGACAAATTTAACTACAGTTATTACGTTGAACGTAATAATGCATCTTTATTGGCTTCCCAGATGCAGTTTATCATTGATTCTTTTGTGTCTGAGGGCGCGTCAACATCTATGACCATTAACCCCGTATTTGCAGAGCATGTAATTCTCGCGTTTTTTCCCCTGGTGACAACGTTACACCCCCCGCTAGAAAACTGCCAGTAGTATTTTTTGAGACATACCGGTGTTCCTCCCCCACCAGAAGGCGAGTTTCGGCACCGACTTACATGTTGGCGTGGTTCCCCTCTCTAGGTATGTACGCCACGGCGCACCGCCCCAGTCGGAACAGGTCCGAAGTTTCTGACTTGTCTTTCAATAAACGTCGTAAATAAGTGTATGTGTGAGTATAAGGGACGAGGGGGGACTGGGACAAGGAAGGAGTAATCGCTTGCGAACTGTGGCCCTTTTGTTTAGGTGCTACTGCAGCGTTTCCCTAGATTTGATCGGAGATACTACAGAAAACAGCCTATCAGAATAACTGGACTCCGGAATTTTCAAGACAGCAGCTAAATCCGAACATCTAGCTTGTGTCGAGATTCAGCCATCATCAGGACTTCTCGATCTGAGACGCTTCTGTGACATCTGCTGCCGAAAGCCATCTCAGCCGGTGCAGTGTGTCTTTATAGTGGTACTTGTTTCTATGGAGTTTGCGACGAGTAGAAATTTGATTATTCAAATGGCAAACGTCGAATTTCCTCTTTATTCATAGCGTAAATAAAGGAATAAGAAAACTAGAGACATCGATACCGATGGAAACAACCTCGTAAGTGGCTATTGAAACGAGATGGTGCTGCTTGAGACGCCGTGTCTCTTTTCCGCTCAACTGCCCGTGTTGGCTTCTCGGCTCCGAAGGGCCGGGTCACGCTCCACCTTTTCCGTTCTCTCAATTCCGCGCGGATTGCAAACGCGATCCCCGCGCGATACGTCACCGTCGCGGCGCGGCGCGGCGCGGCACGGTGCGGTGCGGCGCGGTGCGGCGCGGTGCGGCAGAGGGCGAGCAGGCAGCCAGCCGCCGGCAGCGCCGCCGCTTCATCGGGGGCCCCGGCCGCGTCGTCGAGTGCCTACGGCGCAATCACGGCGCGCGGGCCGCTTTTCGAACGGGCGCGCTTCGGGCGTTCGCCGATGTGGGCACACGATGCGGCGCCGCGACGCGCAGTGGGGACGAAGCCGTGAAACGATTGGCAAAAAACCGGCGTAGATGAGACGGGGAATCCGTTGATAT